TTACTGTTCCATCTTTGATGTATGTGATGCCACAGATGGGAAAGAAGCAACCCTGATAGAACCGAGGGAGGAGGGCCACTCTTCTTTCCCCTTAGCAGCAGATAAAAGTGACAAGAGTTCCAGGAATTTTGGTGAGATTTTGGAGTCTTCAGGCACAGGCCCCCATTTCTGACAGCCATCCAGAGTGGGTGGCTAGGGGGCTATTCTTAGAAGAAGGAGAAGAAACACTACTCTGTTAGAACAGCTGGTAAGACCAGTTCGCTCTTTCGAGATTCCAAGCTCCGTTTAAAATTAGTATAAAACAGACACTTTTCCCCAACCAGTTCATGTTCCATTAGATGCTCAAGAAATTGCTTCCAATATTTCTTTTAAAGGGGAAGTCAAGGACTGTGAAATTTTCAAGGATGGAAATGTTCTTCTACCAATGCATTTAGAAAATGGCTGGGTTGGGTCCCCCGCAGCTCCCAGCATATATGAACAGTTTATTTATTTATCTTTATTTATTTATTAAATTTGTATGCCTCCCATCTGCCCTACATAAAGGTGCCAATGGCATGGTGGCTCAGTGGTTAAGACACTGGGCTTGTCACCTGGAAAACCCGGCAGCCCAGGTTCAAGTTCTGAGTGCCACACAAAGGGGGGAGCTCCCATCCTTGGCTCAGCTCCCACCATCCTAGCTGTTCAAAAACATGCAAACGCAAGTAGGAAAATAGGTACCACTTCGGTGGGAAGGCAGCAATAGCAATAGCAATAGCAGTTAGANTCCCCCCTCTCTCTCATATAAAACTCCACCAAGTAACAAATCAATGATGGGAATAATGCCATGCACCATGTAGGAATGCTACAGAGATGACCTTTATCTATACTCCATTAATTAAGTTTTTGAGAAACAGTTATGTTAATTTATTATCCTGATGAAATAATGGGCCGCTGTCCAATACAAGCATTTCCAAACCTTTACAAAATATTTTTAAAAACTCCTGACAACAAGTTTCTAACCCAACAAAGGTATAAATGCACAATCCATTGCACATTTACTTGGAATAAGTCAGGCTGAACACCCCAAATCTTATTTTTATATAAACAGATCTAGGACTGCCTTGAAAGAACCTTAGCATCTTCTAATCCCATTGAACAAGCTTCTTTGCAGAGGTAAATTGTTTTTCAGTTGTACTTCCGTGGGAAATAAAACAGCCAATGGCACTAGAATAAATCTTCTGGCGATTCTATATTTTAATTTAAACGTGACATGGAAAATGGTTATTAATCGTTGTTTGCACACAGTAGGAGAGACTTTGATAGAAATGTTGATTTATCATTAACATATTCCACTGTGGGGATTATTTAGGGCCTCAAGTGAAAGTTATTATATTTTTTCCAGGTTTTGGATCAACATCTACTGTTGACTTTTTAAAAAATTACTTGTTTTTAATACATTAATTTTCTTGAGCAACCTTTATCCATATCTATAGCTATAGTTCTCCCTCTCTCTCTCTCTCTCTCTCTCTTTTATCCTCTATCAATCTATCTATCTATATCTCTATATCTATCTATCTATCTATCTATCTATCTATCATCTATCTATCTGTTCTATCTATCTCTATATCTATCTATCTATCTATCTATTCTATCTATCTATCTCTATCTATCTATCTATCTATCTGTTCTATCTATCTATCTATCTATCTCTATCTATCTATTCTATTCTATCTATCTATCACTATCTATCTATCTATCTATCTATCTATCTATCTATCTGTTCTATCTATCTCTATTCTATCTATCTATCTATNGTGAACCTGATTTTTATGCCTGGCAGGCAGCAAAGAATTTTATCTCCCTCTCTGCATCTGATGAAATGAGCCACAGTTCTCGTGTAGCCCGTGGTTTTTAATAAAACAAGGGGCTGTCGAAGTCATCCTGATATTTGGGTTATCCCAACCATCTCAACTCCGCTCTGGAATTGAATTACTCCAAAATCACAAGAGCAGGGATAGAATCCCAAGTACAGAATGTAAATTCCGTGCCTCATTTTCCTGGGAGAACTTGTTCCTCACATGTTTTGTTGCTCATTCGTGAGAAGGAAGAAGCCTCCAAGAAATCTGGCTGCAGAATTCCCCACTAGAGGGAGATGTCTTGCTATTTTAATTACAACGATAGTTTCTAAATTTGGATTCTTGCACCCATAAATCAATGCATGGAAGTTATACGAAGCTCTGCATCCCCTTCCGTGTATACTTTCCAAGAGATGCATAATGCATTCAGCCAAATAGAATATTCTGCGGCGCTCAAGACACTGCACTACTCAAGAATAGTAGTTACTCTCCGCTTAACTAACTTGTTTTGAGTGATGAAGTTGTTTGAATGAGCAGAGAAATGTCTCAAACTAACAATAAAATATTTGTCCAGTTGCTATTATTCAACCTTCAAACACCTTCGCCTGGATGGCTGAGAACTTACAACAACATACTCAAAGATAGCTGTTTGTTTTTTTTGTAATGTTCTGGTCATCCCCCACCCCCAAACCATACTTTCTGGAACCAGATAGTAATTGAGTAACTTATTTAAATTAGAAACTTTTCTACCTGTATGTTGCCTTTCTACCTGAACAGGCATCCTTGCTGTATTTCCAGGTGAAGAAAATTAGAACCCACCCCTCTACTAGAAAAATGAAATATTCTAGGAAATATTAAAAAGGCAGAATATTATATTCCCTGGATGAGAAATGGAGAAACATGTTTTAGGCAGGAAACAGACTCATTCTGAATAGCCCCCCCCCCCACCTTTGTCAATGGGCCATTAAGGCCTGAGCCAGTCTATTCTACATAGCAAAGATCTCCCCACTTCAGGCAGAACCACTTCATTGCACCACCCAACAAGTTTCAACCAAACTTAGCACACAGACAACCTACAAAGCTAGCTATGACCTCTGACAGCAACCAATCAGGATACTCTTCCTGTGCCCCAGAAAGTTCAAAGCCGTCTCTCTCCCCCTCCCATGGTCTCCCTCCCTCTCTTTCTCCCTCCTTCCCCATCTCTCTCCCCCTCCCACGCTCTCCCTCCCACTCTTTCTCCCTCCTTCCCCATCTCTCTCCCCCTCCCGCGCTCTCC